AAAAAAAACCTAACGTATTAGAAGTGGGAGCTGCAGGACTGGGACACTCTCCGAGTTAAAAGCTGGTAAAGCCGGTTTCAGGCCACATGTTTGTTTAGGCTAATTACATCTCGATAGAGACATACTTCAGAAGTGCACTCATTAMACAATAAATCCTAGTCACACTTTAACAACCAGCTGAGGGCTTTAGGAGAGCTACAAATACAAAAGAAAAAAAAACTTAAACAACTCTTCTTCTTTGCTCCAGAAAGTAATTAACATTCCTGTGATTCCTCTAGGTTTTTTTTTTCTCACAAGAATATGAGGAAACAGAACATCTAGTGGTTGTATGCTCAGGGCTTGGCGTGCAGTGGATCAAGTGGCTGCTATTTTTGGGTCCGGACATGGAAAATGATTTCAAACAGGAGTACTTTCAGGGGAAGCAAAGCTTAGAAGGAGTTTAGGACTCGACAGCAGCAGCAGACTGTGTGATAGTGATTGATTTTGGGGCTGCAACAAACAACTTTTATTATTCTGGAAAATCTTTCCCAGTTATACAGTTGTTTGACACACACACTGAAAACTGCTGGGTTAAAAAGGGTCTAGTTTTACTTCACCTGGGTTGGGCCATCAGTTTGATCCAGCATACTGGGTGARGTTTCTACACATAAATTAGATTTAAAAAATGATTAATGGAATTGGATCTACTAAACATTTTACCATAGTTAAAAAAAAAAAAAGAAAACCCCTGCATCATTTGCATACATGTCAACCTCTTCGGGCATTTACCTGTATACAGAGCCTCAAAAATCTGTACATTTTGCAAAGAATCCGCACAACTCACAGAACAGGTTGGAAGATGGCTGTTTGATGTTATTTATGGTTTTTTAAATCATCCTATAGGCTCTGACATGTTAGATACATTTGAAAATGAGGTTTTGAAAAAATCTGTAATGGTGCGTTCACACCGAACGCGATTTCAGCGTCAAAATCGCAGCCAACGCTGAAGTTTGAAGCTTGTGCACTTTGAGGTCAGACGCAGGACA